TGTAGTCATGTTTCCTGATATTCCTTTCTATCTCACGAAACAAGTATCCATTTTACAATAGTAGGTAAGAGAAACCAATATCCATAAGACAATCAAGCATCTTAACATTATTTCCCCTCTTTTACCTATTCAGACTATGCCTTGTTCCCTGTATCACAGAGCCCTGTTGTTCCAAGGTTGTGCATACATCATTATTTACCTTTGTCAAGAACACTTTCTTGTGTGATAGTTTTCCTCTGACACATAGACATTCATACCTACCCCCCGTAGATTTAGTTAGCCACCTTCCTTCCCTGTTCACATATAGCTGTGTGCACATAGTATAAAAAGTATCATGTATATAATTATTGGTGTCTGTCTGTGTCCCATAATATACTGTTAAGTCCTTGATATTGACATAGTTTCTCATTTGTCTTTGTATTCATGGCACTTAGTGACTACTCCATTGGAAGTACTCTGCACATGCTTTTCTAATGAGTATACACTGAGTAGAGTCCAGGTTTGGCCCTGTAGGATAAACACTGGATTGTTAACCACAAGGTCAGTGGTTCAAACCCATCAACCGCTCTTTGGAAACCCTGTGAGTTGGAACTGACTCAGTGGCACTTAACAACAAAACATATATTGAGTATATATTTGAATCAGCCAGGTATAGCTAGATATATTCCTTGATATGATTAGAAAAAAAACAAAAAACCACTATGATTTGGGTCCCTTTGGCAGATTTTCTTTCGATGGGAATTGGGGCTGCTCCTTGACCCAATTTATGTGTAGTTTCCTGCAACCTAGTTCAGTAATTCTCTTTCCTTCAAAGTGATATTCACCTCTTGATATTTAAGAGTTTACAGTCAACTCTATAATTTTAGAAGAATAAACCTGTGGGTAAAGTATTTAATTATTCATTTAGGAATATGGATTTAACTGGCTTTATATTTCATAAAGATTTACAGACTGATACCCTTAAAGATGAGTTTCTTTGTCTTAATCTAAGCGTATAAGAGCTGTCTACTAGTAAAATATCAAGGCTATCTTGCCTAATATTATATATACTTATATATTTTCTAATGTATTTTAATGCTAACTGAGTTTAATTTATGGAGTACTTTTCTATAAGCAAAGTTTGCTATAATCTTAATGTACTTTGGAGGCTAAAGTTTAGGGGTTAAATCGCTTTTCTGTAGATACTCAAAAAACTAACTTGATGGCACTTAACAACAAGGGCAAAGGCTGTCTCCAAATACTGTTTTCTCCAATAACTTGTCTTTGTTGCTTTTCATACATGGGCCCTCAAATGATTAGTATTTTAAAAAACAAGATGTTACCAGTTCTTGTTGACTATCACTGATACATTTCCCCAAACATGTCTCTCTTTAATGCCTATTTGTCCTAGTGTATTCTTATTTCTGAAGTCTATTAGTGACGGCAAACAATATAAGGTCACTCTCTCATTCTTTAACGTAATCTCAGGAGGCAGGGAGGGCGGGGAGAAAGGGCTAGGTTCTTAGTGCTTCTGGCAATTTTATCCTAACACAAGTAGCACCCAGATTGTTTAATTCCGATAAGTATTTCAGTTCTTTCTTGAAAAATTAAATTCACAAAACAATTGATTATCAGTTATAAATGGGAAAAACACCATCTGGTTTTTTTAAAAAATCGGTAAAAATCTATGTAGCGAGGGGGGGGGGGAATTGTTGGAACTCGTAGTTGGCGAGGCGTTCTAGTCCATGAAGCAGAAAATGACGCGCTTTACTATGAGAAAATCGGAGTAGTCATAACTTGCATTTAGCGGCTGCGGGAATTTGATACGTTCTTCACATGTTCCATATGTTAAATTACTTGGCGAGATCTTTAGTGTGAAAGAACTGGGGGTGGGAGAGGAGAGTAGTTAGTGGATTGAGTAGCAACAGCTGAATCCTAAATTCTCAGTTCTATGTCTTTCCACGTAGACCCTGTGCTAAAAGTGTCCTGTGACTCCGTTTCTTTATCTCAGAAATTGGATGTGCAGGTTCTTTAATCTTATGGCACAGGTGGCATTTTTGTGGAAACATCTAAAGCTATTTGCATTCCACTGGTGAGGTAAGTTGTGCAGCATTAGCATTTTTTGCAGAAATGTCCCATGTTGTTCTTTGCCAATTGGAAATATGAGTAGGTGTTCATTTGACGTGCCAAGAGAATGAAGGGAGATGAAAACACTCCACATCTTCCAATGTCCCCCATACTGTGTTCCGAGTGTGGGAGGATTGAGGCCTGGCTCAACAACCTAGAGATTCAGTCTCAAGTGGAATGCATTTCCTTAGGAGTATACAGCAATCCTGTTATTTTTAAAAAAGCTTCTGAGTTCCTGGCATGTTTTCAATTGATGATAAAAATGTAGCTATCCTTTGCTTATTATTCATGCATTGTAATGTGAAATTTATTCATTCACTCAACAAATATTTATTGAGGTACAGTATATCATAGTGGTTAATTGCATAAACTCTGTCTGCAACTTAGAAACTGTGACCTTAGGGCAATTGCTTAATCTTTCTAAACACGTTTGAAAACTATAAAATGGGAGATAATAATAGTACTTATTTTGGGAATTGCTCCAAGGATTAAATGAGATTATGCATGCAAAACACTTAGTAAGAGCTCAATAAACACTATACCAGTTGCCGTGTAGTCCAATGCAACTCATGGCTACCCCATGTGTGTCAGAGTAGAATTGTACGCTATAGTTTTTTCAGTGACTGATGTTTCTGGAGCAGATCACCAGGCCTTTTTTTGGCAGTACCTGTTGGTAGACATAAACCTCTAATCTTTCAGCTAGCAACCAAGTGCTTTTACTGTGTGCATCACTAAGGGACAATATAGTGTACAGTATAGCCATAAGAATAATCTAAAAAAATTATTATGATGATGTGATAGGCTCAGTGCTAGACTGCTCAGGTTCCTGGCACACACTTACTTGTAGGAACCTACTCTAGTTCACAAAAATCTATTATAGCATTTGTTATTGTTGCTAAATGCTGTGGAGTCAGTTCTGATTCATAGCGACCCTTTATAGAGTTTCTGAGGGGCAGTTGGTGGGCTTGAAGTCCTGACCTTGTGGTGAGTAGTCCAGTGCTTATCCTACAGTGCCACACCAGAATGCCCACCCCCAAACTCCCTGGTGTCAAGTGGACCCATTCTATAGTGAGTAGAATGGCTACATAGGGTTTTTGAGACTGTAAATGTTTACAGTAGCAGACTGCCTTAGTGTTCTGAGGCGTGACTGGTGGGTTTGAACCGCTAACCTTTCAGTTAGCAGCCCTACCTTCACCCTCTGGGCCACCAGGGCTCCTTTATAGCATACCTGTGATCTCAAACATTACTCTCGTTTGGGTGAAATTCTGCTGTGTTTGATCTGATCTAGGTGCCAGCTTCACTTGCAGAGGTGCTAAAATGACATAGGGCTCTGCAGACTGGGCGCGATTCTGGTGACCATGTGGAGATGGTTTCTTGCCTCATGTAGTGCTATTTGGCTGCTGGAGTTCTGGAGTACTGCCTGCAGTTCGTGCATCAGGGCCTGTAATTACAGAGCCGAATTTCCAGGGCTGTGAAAGCTGGGTAGTCTCAGAATTAGTTTATGCATAATGGATAATAGTAGGCTGTTTTAAAGTGTAACTCATTTGGTGGCTTGGCAGATCTTGACTTTCTTTTTTATATGTATTATTTATTTATTTATGATTTTTCTAGCAAGATGAGGACAGAAGGGCTAGGTAAGTCATTTGGTGTAGCTCCTCTGGACTATAGCTCAGGTTTAGCAATTTACATTCAGTGATCTCTCGGTCATTTAGCCACAGATAATTTGTCATAGTTTGTTTTAGCTGTTGTGATATTGATATTTATTATGCAAATTGTATTTCCTACATCTTATTGTTCTGCATTCTATGAATACTTAAATTATTATAAACCTTTACACTTAATATGGCTCGTCCTTCAATTTGATGCTTGAGCAACAGAGGGTCAGAGCGCACACGATCTTCTAGAGGGAAGAAAATAAGTAATTAAAAAGCAAACAAACAAGAGAGCCAGCTGCCTGGTTGAAAAGAAAGCAAAGGCAATTTCGGGAGGGACAGCGAGTCCGGAGAAGCTAGTCGCTTCAGCTGGATGAGCCTTTTCCGGACACACGGATTGCTCAAAGCACCTGTTGGTCCCCAGCCACCGCCGAAAAAGGGAAGGGCTTGGGGCGTAGAGGAGGGGGCTGTGGGGTTGAACATGAAAGAAGGAACATGACAGACCCCGTCTTCACACCCCTTTGCCCTTCACCCTGCATACTGGACCGAGTAGATTTTTGTTTTGTTGTGTGTAATCTTAAATACATATTAAAGATATATTATATCTCGAGAAGGGGGAACCGGAGCTGACCCTCCTTTATCGACCTTTACTGATTATCTACCTCTAAGACACCGACTCAAAATGCCCACCCAGCACGGACTCCACGGTTCCTTTCTCCTAACTATGCCTAAGTCTACCGCTAGGTTGTTGAGCTGGCTCTCCCGCGCCGCCGGACGTGCAAAGCACGCATGCACCTCTCCCAGATTGTTTTGTCAATCCGGGGACCTGCATTCTTACTCTCCACTGCCGAACAGCCCGTTTCCCAAAGATCTATTCCTTCTGTGCAAGGTGAGTGACGGAAATTTGCAGTGTCTGGCTTCTAGGCCAGATGCACTTGCTGTACGGGGCAGAAGAGTCTCCTAAGGAGTCTCCAACCCTCGGTCTGATACAGCGATTGCTATAAACATTCCTAATAAAGGTGTACAGGAAGTTAGACCCGCCCCCTGGAGCCCGAGCCTCCACACACCAGGCGCCCTAGGGAACACTTTTTCCTTGATCCGGAGGAAGCGAAAACGAATTTTAACATAAACATATTTGCATACGCCCCGCCCCTTAACCCCGCCCCTAGGTGGCGCGGGCGCGCCGCCGAACGCCAGCGCCAGGGGGCGGGTTGGGGGAGGGGGCGAGTCCTCCGAAAGCGGGGTTGGGCTCGAGATACTGTGATTGGTCTGTTCGGACTCCGCCTCCAGTGCATGTAATTAGCATCTCATTAGTTGTCCGCTCGGGCTCTGGAGGAAGCCACGGCCGCCAGTCTGAGGCAGGTGCCCGACATGGCGAGTGCTGTGCTGCCGAGCGGATCCCAGTGTGCGGCGGCAGCGGCGGTGGCGGCGGTGGTGGCGCCTCCCGGGCTCCGGCTCAGGCTTCTGCTGTTGCTTCTCTCTGCCGCGGCACTGATCCCCACAGGTAGGTGTGGGCACCGGCGGGTTGGCCCCCTAAACCTCTTAAGGCACCCCAGTAGCCGTAGCTATGGAGGGGGAACGTTTCCATGACAACCTTCCCCCACTTCCTAAATCTGAATCGGAGGGAGTGTGGAGAGGAAACTCACGGGTGAGATGGAAGAGACTGAGGGAATCCGTGATTCTCTTCTCTCTTGCCCAGCTGGATATGAATTAGACCCCTTAGGGATGGCTGCACCCACACCTTTTCTCTCCGACTTGGCGCGGGGCGCGGAGTAGGATGATAATGGGGGGTCGAGGGGCTAGAGAAGGTGGGGAGAAGGATGTATCTAAGGCACCCTCCCAAGCCTTACGGACCTTCCTAAACTCGCTGTTGTCCCTGTAACTTGCTGATTCTCTCATCTCCTAGGGCTGCCCATTCGTCCCCACCTCTCATCGAGCCCCCCAGTTCTCTGTCCCCCGAAGCTTCCCCACGGCTGACTACCAGCCGCCTACCGTGCTTCCTTACCGGTCCACAGGACATCCCTAGACTTGTCTGATCTTTCCTCCGCTGCCCGCGCGCTGTCTTCCTCCTCTCTCTCCCAAACTGCACGCCTCTCGTGTTTTCTCCAGCCCGGGATCTCAACCTCTCCGCCCCCTCCCCTTGGTTGCGGGTCTCCTTGGCCCGGCTCCAGGCAGGGAAAGTTCTCCCGGCCCGGCCCCGCGGGGGGGTGGGGGGACAGCTGCTGTCGCCGCCTATGCGGGAAGAAGCGGTGAGCCTGCAGCCCGTTTGCCCCACAATGTCCTCCGCCGGGAGTGGGGACACCAGATTTCCAGGCTTCCCGTCCTTTTGGGCAGATCGAGGGTGATGGAGGGAGCGTCCGCGGCCTCTGCGGTCTGGCGGGAACCCTGCGGGCCTCCGGGCGCCCCCTGTGTGGGGGAGCTGTCTTGGGAATTTGCCCAGGGGCGGCTCTGCACGCCCGGCGCGTTCCCTGAAGACGCTGAACACTCGGCAGGAGCACGATGTGTGGCTGCCCGTGTGCCGGGCGCGTTGGCGCGGTTGAGAAAGAAGAGGGCAGTGTTTGCTTTTGCTAACAAAAGGGAGTCGGAGCTCTTTCCCAACGGAGAGGCCGGCAGTGCTGCACCCTGCCTTTCCTTCCCGCCACCTCGCCTCGCTCTGCAGCCGCTCGGCGTCCCTGCGCCCCAGCCGCCTGCTGCGGGCTCGGGGCGGGGAGCCGGGACGGAGTGGCACGGAGCTGCAGGGGGCGGGGGGGAGGTGCTGGAGGGGATGCAGCAGGGCTCTGCGCCTGCAAAGCCCCTCCTTGCAGCTCGGGAGCTGCAGGACCCGGGAGCAACAAGTGGCGGAGGAGACCGAAAGCTCAGCCCCCACCTGCGGAGCCCCCGGCCGGGGCGGGCGCTGCGCTGGGGCCACCGTGCAGCTCCGGGGGCGCCTTTCTGCTTGGGCTGTGTCTTTTGTTTACACGCTAGAGGACACACAGTTATGTAAACACTGCAGGAGACACGCTGTAGGAAATGGGGATGTATGGGGGTGCTAGCTTTGGGTTTAGGGGAATTCTGGGTTGGTTATTTACCCCGGAACAGGCTTGCAAAAGGAACTCGTTTGGGAAACCTATTGGGTCTGTATAGGGATCGGAATCTGTCAGCAGCTTCAATTCCAACGCTGAGGATTTTTCTCCTATGCCACTGCCTGTCTCAGGATGTTGTTTATGTATTTTTCCTCTGTGAATTCTTAATTTATGAGTTACGAGATAATTGGTTTCAGCCAATGCCGGTGTGGTTACAACTTCATTTCGGGTGATGTCTGTGACTGGTTGGGTTCAATAAAATGTTTCTGAAAGAGATCCCTTGGGCTACTGCATTGTAAAAAGCGCCAGTGCCAGTTAAACGTGAGCGAGAGTAAAAGGCTCGGTAACTGGCGCATAATAGAAGCAACAATAGACTTGTATTGGCTGCAAAAAAAGGGGGTGGGGGGAAGCGCTGGTCGGAGATAATGTCTTTCGACTAAAAATGGGAGCCGTGCAATGCCACTTGGCAGCAGACTAGGATCAGATTATGCTTCCCAGTCAAACCTGCTCATTGATGGCACCCGGTAGTAGCAGCCGTACTATATTTGTAACTATCTCGCGGTAAGAAGTTGCCTTCTTAGCGAGGGATATATGCTGACTTAGAAAGGAGCGGTCTGGAACTCAACCGTGCTTGTCAAAGCTACATGAAAATTCCGTTGCCAGTTACCATGGAAGCAGCTTCTTGCTCTTGTGTACATCCCTGTTTGTTCGCTGGTTATCAGACTGTTCAAATTAGAAAGTAATTTGGTTTGATTTGTATTGGGGGGGTGAGATGCATTTCTTTAATATATATATTTAGTGCATAATGTCAGGGCGCTGAGCTTGAGAGAGGGGGTCTTTGGCTCAGTCCCAGGTCCTGAACTCTGGGGATAAATTTCAGGTGGGCACCCCGGGTTTTTCTTCCACAGCCCTCTTTAGTATACTGAGCTTTCTCAGCAGCCTCCAGTTCACTCTCTGAAGGTTAGAGAAATCTGTTGGTGCTGCCTTCTAACTTCATTAGGCGTGTTTCATTTGCATCCTTTCTGGGAAAGCAGACTAAGGCCACAGTGCTGTGGGCTCTGGTCCTGTTTTCCCCTGTACCTGAATCCTTCCATCCCCGGAGAAAGTCCTCTCCCTGTCCCTTCTCCCATGGTGTTTGGATGAAATGGATGTTAATGATATGCAGCTCTAAACGGGTTTGCCGAGGCTCACTCCACAGCATAAATCACTCCTATTATGTTTTAGGTGCATGCATGGTATTATTTTTAATCCAGATGAACCAGTGGTGAATCACTCCCCCCTCTCTTACCTTTTTCAGGGTTTGAGAGAATGGCTGATGGGTGAGAGGTTTGGTGGTTTCCACGCGAAGCCCAGGGCTGAGTTGTGCTTGTCTTGGCCTGTTGGGGCTTGCTTACCAGGGATAGGGACTTTCCAAAAGTACCGCCCTGGCTATTGTTGCTGTTCCCTGCATCAAATTGAATAGCCGCAGGAGGGACTTGCACTTGTCTGTGATAGCTTTGATAAAATATCCCTCATTAATGCCACTTTATATTTACAGTGTGTCATTGGAGACGCACAAGGCTTCATTTAGTGACTTGTGTGACGAGACAAGCTTGCATTATTTGCCTGGGACATTTTGGAGGAACAAGAAACCCATTGAGCAATCTTTTGAAATGAACAAATACGGAAAAAGGGGGGAATAAAAGAGCAGGCAGTTCTCTAGAACAAAGAGCTTTATTCATATGGATGTTGTACATGCTTTATCTAGTTTTCCCCAATGGCCCTCCTGGTAAAGGGGAGTGAGACAGGGAAGAAGCTAACAGGCAGGATACTTTCGCTTACTTCCTGAGTTCCTATTCTTCTCTGACTTGGTCCCTGACTCATCTCTCCTCCCTCTTAAATTCCTGAAGGTAATAGGTCCTGGGTCTAAAAGGGGAGATTTTGAAATCCTTTCTCCTCCTATCCCCGTATTTCAACAGCAGAAAGTGCTAGCTACCTGTTGAGATTGATGGTCGTTGGAGGATGTATTAGTTGAAGGGAGAAAGAGATGTCACTTTTCTATGACATGTGTCAAGAAGTGATTGATAGTGAATGTCAGATTGGTAAGGTGTCTTGCAATTATAATATTAGCCTTCCTATTTTCTTTTTTTAAAAAATGGGGTGAAAATTAAAATCTAAAATAATTTTAAATCTTATTAATGGTGCTGTTGGTGTTTAGTGACTTTTGCCAACACCTGATTCATTTCAGCTTTGTACATAAGTGAATATTTATTATTCCTTGACCTTATTGTTAAATGATTTTCAACCCTTAAAAAATTGATAACATTGCTCTGAATAGAAACTGCCTCATTCTATTCGGGTTTCTGTGTGTGACATTGTAATGCCCCATCGGCCACTTAGAATTTGTATTTTAGAAATGGTTTTGTGTTTGTATGTGTGTATTGTTGAAAACAAAGGCACATTTTTATGAGGGAAAATTTGTTAAATTTGGCCAACCTAATCAAAGGATGCTATGATTTAGATTGAATATTTCCAACATTCCAAGAAGACATGTAAGAAATAAACCCAAAGAATCCAAATTTTCAGTTAAAAATGACCATTACGCTGGGCATTTTTAACTGAAAATCATGAAAAGGAGAAATCACACAGCGACATCTGTTGCAGAATTGAAAATTTGCTGCTTTGACTTAGAAGCAATTAGTCCATATAAGCACCTAACGATACGAATTTGTGTATATGTGTGTGTGACTCATACAAATGTGTGTGTGTATATGCAAATTACTCAAGCCTCATGTTCACAAAATTCATATTCACATTCACATAAAAGTATTTAATAGCATATGTAATGTTTTAGCAATACAATTTAACATTACCTTCTGAAGGATTAGAGATTCGTATAATCAGGGAATTTTTGAAAAGACAGGAACCACTTGGTGAAATCCCATGATTTTGAAGTGAGGCAGCCAAAGCTCAGAGAGGGAAGGAGTTTGCATACAATTGAACTGAGCTAAGTTAACTGCAGATCTTGGATGGGGGAGCAGATCCCTTGATGTCCAGCCAGTAAGTCTGTTCGTCCACCCTGTAGGGATGCCCCAGCCAGGGACTGTGGATCATTAGTAGATGATATCATGGCTAGGAATATTTTACATTCTGAAGGAAGCAAGATAAATTGTGGCTCTAGGTAATCCATCCGTGGATCCGAGGAGTAATGTATGGGAAAGAAGAACCAGTTATTGTTGGTACGGTTGCCCCTGTGGTGTTGACAAATGGTTCAGAAACCTCTGGACTTCATTTGGCAGCCCCAACACTAGTGTCGTCTAAAGTACCTGCATAGGAGACAGCTCTAGATTAGATGTTTGTGTGGCTGTAATAGATGTGAAAACTATGCTTCAGAAAACTCCAGGTTTAGATTTCTAAGATTTTTATCTGTTTTTCCAAGGATTATTATTCATAGCACAACTGA